AACACACTCATGATCAGAACAAAACACTTTGCTGCATGATGTAGGGCAGTACACAGTATCCAAAGCCAATCAAGTAACTTTTGGCAGATATTTGCTGCCAAAACCCCACCAATATCTCTTGCCATCGCACCAGCAGAAAAACAACAAATATTAACACCCCCTCCCCCCACAATACACCACCATGGTGGTAAGACAAAAGAGAAATTTGTCTCCATCACTAGAGAAAGCTGTCTTGTTTGCTCCCAAGCACCTTGAGAGCATGCAGGGCAATTTCTTACACTGTCTGCACTATCGCTGCAATTTTGTCTTTGCAGCTGAGCCACCACTGCCATCTTTGCCAACACAGTGACGCCAGCCAACAAGTTCTCAGCCTAAGGTGCCTGCTGGTCTGGCCTTGTGGTAAGGCTGGTCCCAACCAGACTTACTGCTTTTCATCTTGGATTCTAACTGCAATGTGCCTCCATTTTGAACTGCCAGTAATCATGAATTACTCAGGCCGGTAAGTTCAAAAACATGCAACATTCTTTGATCAGTGCAAAAAACGAATGCAAGATATCTCAAAAGAAACAAGACCTGTTCATTTACCTCTTGTATAATTGGGTCATCTTCTTCATTTGCCATAGTAGCATCAAAAGAAGAATGGTGTTGGAGTATCACTTAGAGGTGGCTGAAAGAAACACACAGGAATCAGCTAAGTCATCAGTACCTATTCCATAGTAAATACACAGGATTGGCAGTGGTCACATTCAACCACATCAATTGTTTACTCTTAAATTCTTGTTGAATGGGAGGAAAAGGCAGTAAGACGTACAAGGAATTCTTTCCTTGCCCCCTTTACCCTCTCCACTCTTGCCTTTCCAATCAATATCTGGCTCATAAAGACAAGCAGTGGCGGCAGCAGAGAACTCTCTGCACTCTTCTTTTTCCAAGGTACTTCCCAGATCCAAAAGCAGAAGTAGAAAAATGGATAAGGATATGAGAAAGAAAGTTTCAACTTTTTTTTCATTCCCAACTCAACCATCACAATTTCCCATTAAAGGAGACACTAAAAATGTTTACGACGTCCTCAGATATGGCTTCTGCTCTGATGACTGCATGGTATGGCCCCACCACATGGAAGTTTTTGGACCACTATTGCATTGTCTTATTG